CTGTCTTGTCTTTGATAGAACAAAGAAAGAGAGAGTTCTAAAAGATGGGGGGGGGGGAGGAGAGGAGAGGAGGAGAGGAGAGAGAGAGAGAGAGACAACACCAAATTCAGACACAGAAGGTTCTCAAGGATGGCCATGGTAAAGTCTGGGCTTCAGGAGGTCTTAGAGACCACCAGGGGTCAGTCTTGGGTCCTACAAGAGGAAGCCAGGAGGTATTTGCTCAGCACTGGTTCTCACCTGAGGACCATTCAGAAGAATTTATTCCACTTCGATATACTATGGTGTTAGCAGCTTTGAAATTCTTTACCGCCAAGGGGCCCTTAAAGCCAATGAAGCAGGAGTCTCAGGAATGACCCATCTGTCAGGCCTGCTTGTTTATAATCCTCAGGACCACAATAAAAGGCAAGTTTAATTGCCTGGTGATTCGGGACTTGGGGGCCCAGGTATGGTTACCCACCTCTCAGGCCCAGGGGTCTGCCTGAGCTTGGGAGGGAGGGACTTTGGGACTGGACCTGGTTGGGAAACCTCAGGCCTGGGCTAGGTCCAGGGCTGGGTTGGGCTGAGGCTGGGGCTGGAGGAAGCTTCAAGTGATCTTTGGTTCTGAGGTCATTGGTTTCCCTGTTGTAGTAATTGACTTCACAGATTCTGTTGGGAAGATGCTATGCTGCCAATATAGCTGTTGCTATAGGAATGCCCCATCGCTGATAGCTAAGGCTAGACTCAGTTTGGTAATTAGTGATAAAAACAAGAACAAGAACACCACCACAACTACTGCACATTTACTATGTGCCTGGCACCACTGTAAGCACTTTTGTGCCTATTTAATCCTCATAAGAATCCTAGGAGGCAAGTACTAGTATTATCCCCATGTACAGAAGAGGAAAGTAAGGTTTAAAGAACCTGAGTAACTTGCCTCAGGTCACACACCTGGTAAATGCCAGAGCTGGGGTGAACCCAGGCACTCTGGCTCCATAGCCACACTATCAGATAATACTGCAATGTGAAGAGCCTTTGGAGAGTCTGTATGTCAGCCCTCTTGTGGCAGATGAGGAAACTGAGGCCCAGACCCAGGTCACAAACATAGCTGATGAGTGGTAGAATTTGAACCAGACCCAGCTCTCTGGCTTCCAGCTTAGAGCTCTTGTCACCATACCATGTGGCCACCATTTACACCAAACCAAGTTGCAAGACATTTTAGCTAAAACTCAAGCTTTGGGTCAAGGAATTGGAAAGGGCCAGAATTATACTATGGTCTCCCGGCCTTATGGGATTGAATGCTTCCTAACTCAGCCCAGGCACTATCAGCTTGTCAGAGGGTAGGGGCCAAGAACATGGCACCTCCAACTGCAGACAAACTGCTGGGCAGGGTCCAGGCTGGGATCAGCTAATAGCCCCTACACTTCTACCCCCATTTCCAGGCCAGGGGGACACATCCTGGACACGTGAGAAAACCTGGCAGAAAGAAACAGAGGATTTTTCTTCCTTCAGGCAAACAGACTCCTCTCAGATCCCAAACTGTGACAGGGTTTTCATGGGAGGTGCAGGCTCTGATGGGAACACAGAGCTTTGGTATAAGCAGCTCTGAGAGAAGGAATAAATCATCTCCTGAAATGTTCTTGGCAGCTGCTCACTCACTAACAAAAATACCCTGCTTGGCACAGCTCTGGTCACTCAAACACTACTCCAGGGACCTGGCAATTTTCAAGGTGTGGCTCTGCTCTTGAGGAAGGTGAAAGGAACTGTTGGGAGAAGAGTGCAGTGTGTGCCAGGCCCTCAGAGGAGTGATGCAAGAGAGCCCAGAGGAGCTCTGAGCAAGGCTAGGGATGGAAAAATAGCAGTGTAGAGCACAATGGTGCCTGTGCCTCCCAGCTCCCCAGCAGCCGGCGCTTGTGCCTAGCTCAGTGGGTGTTTGTTGAGTGGAATTGAAATCAATAATGGGAAAATCCTGAATGGAGGCTCCAAACAACAAATCGCTCAAGTGTAGGATGACGAAAGCGGCTTAGCAGAGGCCAGGGTGCAAAACTGTGGGGAGCTTTAGCTGAGTGAACACTCATTATGAGCCAGCTATGTGTTGTGGCTGTCAGCAAAGCTAATGAATCCATCCTAAGTTGTGCTACCGTCAGCTTTGGTTCCAGATCAAAGGGGAAGATAATCCCTTCAGGCTTTGCTTTGGTTGGCCCATCAGTCCAGATCTGAAAATCCGTGTCCACTTCTGGGCCTCACATCTTCGAGGGAATTTGGGCAAATTGGAACATATTCAGAGAAGAAAGATGCAAAGATTTAAAGCCATGTCATGCGGACTGACGAAGGACTGGGACTACATGGGCTGCGAAACATTGGTCTGGAAGGAGGGAAGAGGAGGAGAGCTGGCAGTTGTTTTTGAAACTGTGAAGGGCTCTTGTGGGAAGGGAGAATTAGGTATTCTGATTTGTGCCAGAGGCAGCAAAGAGTTAAATAAGAAGCAGGAGATTTAGAACCAGACAGATGTGAGTTCTTGTGCTGGTTTCTTCTCATTTTACCAGGTGACAATGGTCAAGCCACATGACCTCCTCAAGCTTCAGTACTTAATCAGGGAGATGGAAACAGAAATGCTTATTGCTCAGCACTGTCAGGATTACATACCCAGCACAACATCTTCCCGGTAGTGGCTATACAAGGAGCTTTTCGCTTTCTATCCAGAAGACAGAAGCTTCCCAAAGGAGTGCCATGGCAGGAGGAAGGGCAAACTTCCTCACAGTCATGGCTGGCTTCAAAAGCCAACTGCTTTTTATGTTGCTTTGTTTATGTTTATGTTTTTCTGCTAGAAGAATGCTTACTTTTCTTATTCTCTTGCCTTTTGGCCTGCATTATCATAGTTTCTAATGTAAATTATTGAGTGACTCTCATTTTTTAAAAATGAGAAACAGAACACACAAGTACAAGGCATCTAGCCCATTTTCAGCCAGGGGCTGCTTGTCTCTTTGGTTAGCTCTGAAGATGCTCTTTTAAGTCTGAAAATGGACCTCTCATTCTGGGGCTGGATGACTCACCTGAGCTTAATGTCCCTAGATGGGGTCCCCATCTCATCCCCAAAGCCTCTGTCCTAAGTTCTGCAAAGGGTTAGAGCCCAATATCTCTGTCCAAACCCCCATCAAGACAGCTAACCTGGGGTGAAAGATAACTCAGGGGAATTATTAGAACATGTCTAGCTTCTTCTGTAAATGTGTGAATAGAAGCCCATTGTCCCTATTATTCCTGACTTCTGTTGGGCCAGGCCTCATTCAGTCCATGCTGGTGGGCAGGGTGGAGCCTTTATCTGTTAGACTCCTTGGATGGAGGCTCTCTTGGAGCCTAAGACTGATATCCATCAGCAGAAGCAGGACAGTTCTCACTCTGACATTCTGTGACTCCCTGAAAGATGACTGGGTGTAGACAGAGTGGGTGCAGTCAGAAGAGTTTATGTACTGTCCGGGTGGCACTGATGGGCCCAGTGAACTGTGTAGTGAGTGACCTATGGAGTTTGGAGATTGAAGGGCCATTGGCGTGTCATTAACTCAAAGGAGCAAATGAGGCAGCATGGTTGGAGAGAGGAGCTGGATTGGAGGATGTGGTGGGGGAGCCCAGGACTCAGTGGGATGGTAGTGTTGAGTGTCGCTTCTGGAGAGATGGATGAAATCAGAAATGGGAGAATGAACAATGAGGCCTTAAACAGCAGAAGTGAAGAATGGGATGGGATGGGAGGAGCAGGACACACAGTTCAGGGCTGATGCCATGAGCAGTGAGAGGGCTGGAGGGTGTGGCAGGGGTACAGGATAGTGGATTGAAGGGCCAGGGAACGTGAATACTGGCCCAGGGTTTCCCCAATAGCCCTTTGTTGATTCGCAGCACAGATAAGTCCCGACCTCAGTTGTACATTATGGAGCATGGTCAAAGCCCAGTCCTGTCTTTGACATTCATGCCAAGCCTAATTGGATCCAAATAAGGTCCATACGCTGCAATTGTTTGATGTCTCTCAAGTCTCTCTCCAGTTTTTCTTTAAAGTTTATTTGTTGAAGAAACAGAGTCATATGCCCTGTAGTTTCCTACAGCCTGACTTTTGCTGCTTGTCTTCCTGTAGTGTTATTAACACCTTCCTCTGTCTTCTGTATTTACACTAGCTTAGGTAGATTCGTAGATTTGGTCAGATCCAGGTTTGAGTTTAGAACATCAAGAAGTACGTAACATCTAGATGCCTCATACTCTGTGACATTAGAACTATTGAAAATCATTGGCTGGATCTGTCAATTCATTTTGGCTGGATTGCAAAATGATGATAGTCTACTTCTACCATTTCTTCTTTGTTTATTAAATTATTACATCTATGGAGAGAAGTTTCCCTTTATGAGCTGTTTAATTATCCTGAAGCACAGTCATATAGGAAAGGCAGGAAAAAAATGCTGGATTTTTAAAAAAATTTATTTACCAATTTGGAAAGTGTAAACACTTGATACGGTTTGGTCCATGGGGGTACTTATCCCTGTTGGTGCTTGTATTGTCCACCCCATCACTGGATGGCCATGAAGAATTTATTCAAGGGTCTCCAGACCCTTTACCCCAAGCCTAAGAATCTTTTGAAGCTTCTTTGCTTTCTGGTATGACAAATGTTCCAGGCTCATCTTGTACATTCCTTGCCCTAATCTGGAATGAGCCATTTCTCCAAGAAATCTCAGTTTATTTATTTATTTATTTATTTATTTATTTATTTATTTATTTTTTAAGTGGGAAATGGTTTTAAAGAACTACGATTTGGGCACTAGGGTTTTGTTAATACTGTTTCTAATCATTTTAATCATTGTTTCTTGGCCCTATAAAGAGATGGCACTGGAAATATGTATTTATTTTTAAAGATAACATGTACTTTGAGGTTTATAAAAATTGATAGTTGTAACTCAAATGTGTAATTACAGGTTTTAAAAAATATCATCGAGAGAGTCGGGAGCAAGATGGCCGAATAGCAACAGCTCCAGCCTCCAGCTCCCAGCGTGAGTGACACAGAAGACGGGTGATTTCTGCATTTTCAACTGAGGTACTGGGTTCATCTCACTGGGGAGTGCTGGACAATCGGTGCTGGTCAGTTGGTGCAGCCCGATCAGTGAGAGCTGAAGCAGGGCGAGGCATCGCCTCACCTGGGAAGTGCAAAGGGGAAGGGAATCCCTTTTCCTAGCCAAGGGAAACTGAGACACACAATGCCTGGAAAATCCAGTAACTCCCACCCTACTACTGCCCTTTACCAAGGGTCTTAGCAAATGGCACACCAAGAGATTATATCCCACACCTGGCCGGAAGGTCCCATGCCCATGGAGCCTCCCTCATTGCTAGGACAGCAGTCTGAGATCTAACTGCAAAGTGGCAGCAAGGCTGGGGGAGGGGCTCCCGCCATTGCTGAGGCTTAAGTAGGTAAACAAAGCCTCCAGGAAGCTCGAACTGGGTGGAGGCCGCCGTAGCTCAAGGAGGCCTGCCTGTCTCTGTAGACTCCACCTCTGGGTGGTTGAGAACTGAGCATGGAGGTTGAGAACTGAGAACTGACAGACTGCCTGCTCCAGTGGGTCTCTGACCCCTGAGTAGCCTAACTGGGAGACATCCCCCTCTAGGTGCAGACCGACACCTCACACCTCACATGGCTGGGTACACCCCTGAGACGAAGCTTCCAGAGCAAGAATCAGACAGCAGCACTAGCTGTTCAACAATATTCTATCCTCTGCAGCTTCTGCTGCTGATACCCAGGCAAACAGGGTCTGGAGTGGACCTCAAGCAATCTCCAACAGACCTACAGCTGAGGGTCCTGACTGTTAGAAGGAAAACTGACAAACAGAAAGGACACCCACACCAAAACTCCATCAGTACGTCACCAGCATCAAAGACCAAAGGCAGATAAAACCACAAAAAGGGGAAAAAGCAGGGCAGAAAAGCTGGAAATTCAAAAAATCAGAGCGTGTCTCCCCCTCCAAAGAAACGCAGCTCATCGCCAGCAACGGATCAAAGCTGGACGGAGAATGACTTTGACAGGTTGACAGAAGAAGGCTTCAGTTGATCAAACTTCTCAGAGCTAAAGGAGGAACTACGTACCCAGTGCAAAGAAACTAAAAATCTTGAAAACAGAATGGAAGACTGGATAACTAGAAAATCAGTGCAGAGAAGGCCATAAACCAACTGACTGAGATAAAAACCATGACACGAGAAATACGCAACAAATGCACAACCTTCAGTAACTGACCCGATCAACTGGAAGAAAGACAATCAATGATTGAAGATCAAATGAATGAAATGAAGCGAGAAGAGAAGTCTAGAGAAAAAAAGGAAAAAGAAATGAACAAAGCCTCCAAGAAATATGGGATTATGTGAAAAGACCAAGTCTACATCTGACTGGTGTGCCTGAAAGTGAGGGGGAAAATGGAACCAAGTTGGAAAACACTCTTCAGGATATCATCCAGGAGAACTTCCCCAACCTAGTAAGGCAGGCCAACATTCAAATTCAGGAAATACAGAGAACGCCACAGAGATACTCCTCGAGAAGAGCAACTCCAACACACGTAATTGTCAGATTCACCAAAGTTGAAATGAAGGAAAAAATCTTAAGGGCAGCCAGAGAGAAAGGTCGGGTTACCCACAAAGGGAAGCCCATCAGAATAACACCAGATCTCTTGGCAGAAACTCTCCAAGCCAGAAGAGAGTGGGGGCCAATATTCAACATTCTTAAAGAAAAGAATTTTCAACCCAGAATTTCATATCCAGCCAAACTAAGTTTCATAAGTGAAGGAGAAATAAAATCCTTTACAGTCAAGCAAATGCTAAGAGATTTTGTCACCACTAGGCCTGCCCTACAAGAGATCCTGAAGGAAGCACTAAACATGGAAAGGAACAACTGGTACCAGCCATTGCAAAAGCATGCCAAAATGTAAAGACCATCAATGCAAGAAAGAAATTGCATCAACTAATGAGCAAAATAACCAGCTAATATCACAATGACAGGATCAAGTTCACACATAACAATATTAACCTTAAATGTAAATGGACTAAATTGTCCAATTAAAAGACACAGACTGGCAAATTGGATAAAGAGTCAAGACCCATCAGTTTGCTGTATTTGGGAGACCCATCTCACACGCAGAGACACACATAAGCTCAAAATAAAGGGATAGAGGAAGATCTACCAAGCAAATGGAGAACAAAAAAAAGCAGGGGTTGCAATACTAGTCTCTGATAAAACAGACTTTAAACCATTAAAGATCAAAAGAGACAAAGAAGGCCATTACATAATGGTAAAGGGATCAATTCAACAGGAAGAGCTAACTATCCTAACTATATATGCACCCAATACAGGAGCACCCAGATTCATAAAGCAAGTCCTTAGAGACTTACAAAGAGACTTAGACTCCCATACAATAATAATGGGAGACTTCAACACCCCACTGTCAACATTAGACAGATCAACGAGACAGAAAGTTAACAAGGATATCCAGGAATTGAACTCAACTCTGCACCAAGCAGACCTAATAGACATCTACAGAACTCTCCACCCCAAATCAACAGAATATACATTCTTCTCAGCACCACATCACACTTATTCCAAAATTGACCACACAGTTGGAAGTAAAGCACTCCTCAGCAAATGTTAAAGAGCAGAAATTATAACACACTGTCTCTCAGACCACAGTGCAATCAAACTAGAACTCAGGACTAAGAAACTCAATCAAAACCACTCAACTACATGGATACTGAACAACCTGCTCCTGAATGACTACTGGGTACATAACAAAATGAAGGCAGAAATTAAGATGTTCTTTGAAACCAATGAGAACAAAGATACAACATACCAGAATCTCTGGGACACATTTAAAGCAATGTGTAGAGAGAAATTTATAGCACTAAATACCCACAAGAGAAAGCTAGAAAGATCTAAAATTGACACCCTAACATCGTAAGTAAAAGAACTAGAGAAGCAAGAGCAAACACATTCGAAAGCTAGCAGAAGGCAAGAAATAACTAAGATCAGAGCAGAACTGAAGGAGAGAGAGACACAAAAAACCCTCCAAAAAATCAATGAATCTAGGAGCTGGTTTTTTGAAAAGATCAACAAAAGTGATAGGCCGCTAGCAAGACTAATAAAGAAGAAAAGAGAGAAGAATCAAATAGACTTAATAAAAAATGATAAAAGAGATATCACCACTGACCCCACAGAAATACAAACTACCATCAGAGAATACTATAAACACCTCCATGCAAATAAACTAGAAAACCTAGAAGAAATGGATAATTTCCTGGACGCTTACACTCTCCCAAGACTAAACCAGGAAGAAGTTGAATCCCTGAATAGACCAATAGCAGGCTCTGAAATTGAGGCAATAATTAATAGCCTACCAACCAAAAAAAGTCCTGGACCAGATGGATTCACAGCCGAATTCTACCAGGGGTACAAGGAAGAGTTGGTACCATTCCTTCAGAAACTATTCCAATCAATAGAAAAATAGGGAATCCTCCCTAACTCATTTTACGAGGCCAACATCATCCTGATACCAAAGCCTGACAGAGATACAATAAAAAAAGAGAATTTTAGACCAATATCCCTGATGAACATCAATGCAAAAATCCTCAATAAAATACTGGCAAACCGAATCCAGCAGCACATCAAAGAGTTTATCCACCATGATCAAGAGGGCTTTATCCCTGGGATGCAAGGCTGGTTCAACATATGCAAATCAATAAACATAATCCAGCATATAAACAGAACCGAAGAGAAAAACCACGTGATTATCTCAATAGATGCAGAAAAGGCCTTTGACAAAATTCAACAGCCCTTCATGCTAAAAACTCTCAATAAATTCGGTATTGATGGAACGTATCTCAAAATCATAAGAGCTATTTATGACAAACCCACAGCCAATATCATACTGAATGGGCAAAAACTGGAAGCATCCCCTTTGAAAACTAGCACAAGATAGGGATGCCCTCTCTCACCACTCCTATTCAACATCGTGTTGGAAGTTCTGGCTAGGGCAACCAGGCAAGAGAAAGAAATCAAGGGTATTCAGTTAGGAAAAGAAGAAGTCAAATTGTCCCTGTTTGCAGATGACATGATTGTATATTTAGAAAACCCCGTCATCTCAGCCCAAAATCTCCTTAAGCTGATAAGCAACTTCAGCAAAGCCTCAGGATACAAAATCAATGTGCAAAAATCACAAGCATTCTTATACTCCAGTAACAGACAAACAGAGAGCCAAATCATGAATGAACTCCCATTCACAATAGCTTCAAAGAGAATAAAATACCTAAAAATCCAACTTACAAGGGAGTAAAGGACATCTTCAAGGAGAACTACGAACCACTGCTCAGTGAAATAAAAGAGGACACAAACAAATGGAAGAACATACCATGCTCATGGATAGGAAGAATCAATATTGTGAAAATGGCCATACTGCCCAAGGTAATTTAGAGATTCAATGCCATCCCCATCAAGCTACCAATGACTTTCTTCATGGAATTGGAAAAAACTGCTTTAAAGTTCATATGGAACCAAAAAAGATCCTGCATTGCCAAGACAATCCTAAGTCAAAAGAACAAAGCTGGAGGCATCACGCTACCTGACTTCAAACTATACTACAAGGCTACAGTAACCAAAACAGCATGGTACTGGTACCAAAACAGAGATATAGCCCAATGGAACAGAGCAGAGCCCTCAGAAATAATACCACACGTCTACAGTCATCTGATCTTTGACAAACCTGACAAAAACAAGAAGTGGGGAAAGGATTCCCTATTTAATAAATGGTGCTGGGAAAACTGGCTAGCCATAAGTAGAAAGCTGAAACTGGATCCTTTCCTTACTCCTTATATGAAAATTAATTCAAGATAGATTAGTGACTTAAATGTTAGACCTAAAACCATAAAAACCCTAGAAGAAAACCTAGGTAATACCATTCAGGACATAGGCATGGGCAAGGACTTCATGTCTAAAACACCAAAAGCAATGGCAACAAAAGCCAAAATTGACAAATGGGATCTCATTAAACTAAAGAGCTTCTGCACAGA